ACACAAAATTATATACTTACATACTTTGGTTAATTTAATATAATACCCTTTTTATAAATACTTACTACATCCTTTCCTTTTTTAATGTACACTTTTTGATCCGAGCGTGCTAACTAGCATTTTCAAGACAAATTGTTATAAGGCATGCCCGGAAATTCTAACCCCCCTTGATTGCCCATGTTTATTGCTCTCCTTTTTATATATTTCCCTTTTTAGTTAATTATACAACAATAACACTATTCACTTTAATTGTTAATTTTTTCTAATATACAATCTGGTTTTGCTTTTTTGGGCTAATATTTTTACTTAAATAATTTTTACAAAATATTGAGTACAATTCATCCATTTGGACGAATTTTTTCTTAAACATATAAACAAATCCACACTTCTTACAATACACCACTGATAAAAATAGTACATGCATACATTTCTCACAATAATCACAAAAACCACCTTCATCATCATTCATCATTCATAATAAAAAAACGTGTAAAATTTTTTTAATAAATACTTTGATTGCAAATTTGCTCATATAAAGTGTCTAATTGTCTGGTTTGGTTGTAAATATGCGTATATGTATGGATTTGTAATTCGTATGGATGTTTCTTGTTTTGAAAATGTTTTTGATTAATTTCTCTTCGATCCATCAATTATTTGCTAGAAATGAGTTAATTTTATTTTATCATGTGCTGAGCATAAAAAGACGGTGACATCTTTAATGATGAGGAGAATAAAAGCAAGTAATAATCAATATCTTTAATGATGATGATGATGATGATTAAAGTAAGTAATGATACATTATTCAAATATTCACAATATTCACAGTATTCACATATAACTAACTATATTACCCAAAAGTATTTACGAGGATATCAAATTAAATATTCACAACTATGATTAGAGAATTCATAGCGGCATCTATCATTCCTTTTTTGAACTTCACGTACTTTACGTGATTGTAAAATAATACCATGCCAATTCTCTTACTTTCGGTGCATGCAGATCATTATCAAGAACCCACAGCAACATCAACCATTTCTTTGGAGCTGGGCTGATGCTGTAGATCATGACCATCAGAGATGTCCAAATTCTTCGAACACACTTCGGGAATAGGCGCATCTTGTGTAAACATCGTATATAATTGTCGTAATTCGGGATGACTAGAAGATCGGAAACGTCTTCGAGGTCTAAAACAAATATGATCCTGCTTGAAGCTACTCTCTTCGTCGGACGTTAAAGGTGGACTTGGTGTTCTCATTTGTGCGAAGATAATACCATCTTCATCGGTGGAAGTAGATTTATCACATTTAGTAGGTAGCGGCTCCGATGGTCCAAAGAAAGTCATTCCTTTTAGTTTATTTTCTTCACTCGATAATTCTCCTGGAGTTGAGATTCCTGTTTCGTCTCCGGAATTTGCAATATCCTCAGTTGCAGGCATTGTGGGAGTTGATTGTGTCGACCTTAGACTGTCGTCGTTATATAAGGAATTTGATACCAAAGGTTCATTTGATTTTGTGAAATCAGGCATTGAAAGTGTTCTTGGACGTATCTTTTGAAGGTTAATGTTTATTTGATGTAATGGTAGAACATTCTTAACCCAGTAGCCTGCGGCATCAACTGCTTTTTGAGCAGGTTCCAAAAAACTAAATGTTTGGAATACATGAATCATATCTATAATAAAATCATGATGAATATATTTAGGCTATTAATAATGATAAAAAAGATAAAAAACCACTAATCAAGAATATAAATACCTTCATATATTTCATGCTGAACAAAAGTTGTGCCTGTCTTTTCTATCTTATTAGCTAATAATATAATTTCATCTCTTAACACTTCAGAATCTCCACATTGTATTAATAGCGGGGGTAGATGGTTCATATCACCAAATATTGGTGACACATAAGGATGAGTGAGTAGATGTGATCGCTCCTCGAAAGGAGTCAGGTAAAGTCTTACAGGATGCAGCGGATCTTCGTCTGAAATTTTGGGGAGAATATCATATGGTTGATTATGTTCCCAACTATAGCAACTCATCGTCAGATCAACCCATGGCTGTTTAGTTTATTATGCACTGATTTAATATTTGACGCCAATATAATATTGATATTAAAGATAATATAATAATCAAATTACCGAAAATAATAATGCTCCTCCCGGAAGTGGCATTCCATGATCCCGAAGATACAGTAATAGAGCCAAAGCTAACGTTAAAAGAGAAATCACGATATAAATATTAGATTTTAAGGTACAAATTAATCAACATTAACTTCAACTTACTTAAGCCACCACCAGCACTATCTCCTGCTACCACAATATTTTGAGGTTGAATTGCCAACCCATTCGGATCGGTCAAATACAAATATGAATGTACGACATCATGAAGACCACAAGGGAATGGACCTTCGGGAGCTAGTCTATAATTGATGGCTTTTGAAAGATAATGGATTAATTCGGAGAAATCAAGCGATTTAAGGAGTAGGATAATCTGACAATTACTTACCAAACACTCTTCTTCCTGTCGACTTTGATAATCGATAGTTTAGATCTCGGTGTGTTCTAGTTGACATTACATAATAAGCACCACCGTGGATAGCCAAGACAACTTTTTCGTTTGACCATTTCACATTATTCTCATCGATCCAAAAGAGTTTGGAAGAGTTCATGTGAAATTCCTGATTAATTTTACTCCATAAAGATTTTGGTACTACCCATTCACCGTCAATTTCACGCGTCCCATTTTCTTTTTGATCATGTTCCCTTAGAATACCATATAATCCACGATTGTAAACGGGGAAAGTTACAGGAGTGACCACAATATCCGAAGGTATTAAAGGATTAGGAATTTCAGTGAAGCGGCGTAATAGTTGCACGTTAGCAAGGTGAGTATGATTCGCAAGATTTCTCATAAAAGAAGACATTAACGTGACTTGTACAGGCCATGAAGGTCTTCTCGGACCCGTTAAGTGGTGTGCTAAGAAATTAGCAGTTAATAGAGTTGCTTGGGTGGTGAGTAAGGAGGCATGCTCAAGGAGACCCGTAGCTTTTATTCCGAACCAATTTTTACTGCTATCTCTATTGCAAACTATGACTTTTTGGTTATTATTAGGTTTCTCTTTTCTTTTTTCGTTTGCATTAGAAACCGAGGTAGTAGAAAAGTTTTCTTTTTCTTGTTTTTTGAGTCGGGTTAAGACATGTTCGTAAAAAGCGGAAAAATCATCAAAATTTTGTTGGAATGACATAATCATTTCTTTTGGTCTCTTTTTTTTTTGTGAACAAATTTTTCGATATTTATTGCACAAAAGATGCTTGCTGAGGGAAATTTCTAGTTATGTATATGGAAAAAAACGAGTTGGAGTCTTACAAACATCTAGATTTAGTTCAGCCTTACCGACTAACGATAAATAATATTACAACATTATGTGATCAGCCACTGATTACACATGTGAGTGAGGGTGTAGCAAAATATTTGGATAAACCCTCCGTCTTTTTATGGGATCTTCATCCAATTTTAGTATTCTCCACTTTGCAAATCTTTCATATCTGCATATTTCTTTGTTGTTCATTGTCATCTTATCTATATATCCCTTTAGAAATTAAGAAAAAATTGAGGGGAAGCTGAATGGATGAATGCTAATATTAATTGGTGGATTGTGGGGTGGGAATATTCATCAATTTATCACGCGAGCTTAATATTATCATTATCCAAGGAGCTTTCTTTGTTGATTGTGATGTAATTATTGATCAGAAAAACATTTTAAAAATAGTCTCGGGGACGGAAATTTTATCCTTTCTGAATCAAAAAGAAATACCCCCTTTTTTGTTAAATGCTAATCATACTCTATCATAAAAAGTAATTCCAATCAACACGCTAATGCCCACATGTTCAAAAGTATTTTTTTTTCTCCATTTGATAGATAGAGACAAATACGTGTATGTATGTATATATGTATATAGAAGGTAAAAATAAGTGTTTGTATGTATATATGTATAGAAGGTAAAATACGTGTTTGTATGTATATGTAAACTTGGCGGTTATTGTGACAAATACTAGGTTTAAGGTAATGGTTATTGTGACAAATACGGTTTATCGAGGTGGATTTACGGTTTGGGATTATCCAGATTTTCTCTTATCGAATCAAAGATCTCATGTGTGTGCATGAGATTTAATAACCTCCTTACAAAGTGTTCTAGAATGTTCTTTCATTCAATATTATATAGTCTATCAAAAATTCTTTATGGAAATATCATAAAAAAAATTTGCGGGTCAAAGTCAGCTTGTTCGTCTGAGAACATAAAAAAATTGAATTTTTAGCACCGAGTAATATTTATTGCTTTTGAAGATGCAGAAAGACATTCAAACCGTAATATAACGAAAGAGAAAAAATTTACTATTCAAGAAGTTCGTTGTATCGAGGTTTGACTGCTTTCTTTCTTTATTGCGCACGATATTAATTGATTCTATTCTAAAAATGCGTGAAATATTATTTGTTAAAATCGAAAAGCATAAAACGAAATTCGTTATGAAAATATAATCATACAAAAACGAAAATCACTATGTTAAAAATTTAAACATTGACAAATACTATGTCAAAATACTATTTAAAACAGCAGCCATTCTAATACCAGCCATCGCCAACATTTTCTCAACAAGTTGTGATTTCATTAATGAATCGTAAAATTCACCGTGACCATAATCGATCTCGGTATTGGGACTATAACCTTTCCAAATGACCTCACAATTCAATTTCTTCAGCTCGATCGCCCAATAATTGGGACAAATGGAATCTGGCACGTCCGGGATAGGAAACGGTGTTTTTGGATTTGTTGGTCTACGTCGCGGAGAAAAGGAAACTATACGATCATACTTGAAAAAGTCTATACGAACGTAAGAATTATCTTTAACCCTATTATGACATTCAGTCCATCTGGATTTTTCTTCATTCCACTTTGTATTAATTAAGGAAACGATATTATTTACGTATTCTAAATTAATCTCACATCGAGGACATTTTGGGGGTTTTGGTTTGGTAATTGGAAGTTTCGAATCTGTTGGATTTTTATCATCATCATCATCATCGTCATCATCGTGATCCTCGAAATATTCTTTGGTATCTACTGAATCTGTACCAAATATCACCTTACATATTTGTTTCTATTTCACATAAAATAAAAAATATTAGACGAATGCAGTTTACATTATTATAATTCGAATATAATGAACATATCTTACACAGATCAAAAGCGAATCCCATATAGTATGCAATTTAGTTTTACGATTATCAAATCTCGCTAATAAAAGAAAAATTAAAAGAATCTAGCTTAGTAAATATTTCGAAAACAAAATCCTTATTATAAATAATTTTACCGACTGCGCCATTTCCTCCTCTTAATTTTGAAGTCACTGAGATAAAAAAATAATTGTCAGATATTTTAGCATAAACAAATTTCATTTAAAAATATAAGATAGTTACAATGTAATGGTTGATGCAGATCACCCAGAAAATGCACCAAAAACTTTAACGCTTCCGCTTGCTGTGTATATTCAAGTCTAGTTTTCGGATCTAATCGATGAGAGTAGTTATAGATAGCAGTAATTACGTCACGATTTCCGGGCACCCAATCTATAGAACACGTTTCTGGTGGATTGTCACCAATAGGGTTCCAGAAATGAAGTCGTGAAGCAAATCGATAATGCGGATTAAATCTAATGGTGTCAGCCCAAGCAGCAATTCTTTCAATTGATAATCATTGATCGAATCAATCAGTTCGTCAGTTTTTCAGTTTGTCAGTTTAATATTAACGAGAAGAAATTAAGTGTACTACTCGGATAAGTTTCCATTAGCTTCTTGTGGCAATAATTCTATTATAGCACGTTGTGCACGAGGGCTAAGAAAACGTTGGGCTATAGCGGCTGTTATTTGGTGGCCTTTTTAGAAAAACGTCTGGTTAAACTTTACTGAATTCTCATTTGTTTCGGATTTCACAAATTTTATATTTGCTTACCAACCCAGCCATAGGATAGAACGCCATTCGCTGATATAAAAATGATCAAGAAACTTAAAAGTGCATTAAATTTAAAAATTTGAGCCATAACGAAACTTTTTTCTCTCCCCCTTTATTTATATAATTTTTGGTTTTTCATATGCATGTTTAATATAAGGATAAAGGGGGTTTTTAATGTTCACGGGAACGATGTCGTGAAAAAAAATGAAACTTTTCAAGACATTTTTATCGATCTCAACAAGGGATAGCAGGTCAATTTTTATACAACACACTTTAACGAGATATATATAGAAGATATATATTTATTTAAATATGGGGGGCAGACTGCAACAAAGTTAACATTCTATTATGTGCCCAATTTGACTAATATAAATTTATCATGCCAAATGTAACTAGTATTTATTGAGAAAACTTTGCCCAAATTTATCAATCACAGGGGCAACACAACGTGATATGCGCAGCAAGATATAAACGCGCACACGTTCCTTACTCGTAAACTTGACAACATGGACCAAGTTCAACTAGATTTTACCTTGAAATATCTCAAAGAAAACCCTAGTGCTTACAGAGAAGAAATTAATGCAGCATATCTTCAGTCACAACAAGGTAAGCAAGCAATGAATACACGTTTATTGGGAGGATAGTTGAAATGCATTACGCATGCGTTGGGATTGGTACATAGAGCAGAGTCGTGGCAAAGGTTAGGCTATATGTAAACTCGTTTCAAAGGTGAACGGGTAGACAATAAGACACATTTTAGCAACATATAGTGGGAGTAAAGAGGAATGCATTACAACACACATTGGGTAGAGTATAGAGTAGTGTGTATGTAGGGTAAAGTAGGAGCAACGGAGAAATAGTTCGAATGCTATTACAACACGCACTGCAGGCATAGCGTGAAAAGACGCAACGTTAAAAGTCTACGTTCTTAATAATTTATTCCCGCATTAGGTTCAGTGTCTCTCTCCGATCCAGGCCGCATACAGAGGCTAAGGGAACAGTTCGGTTATACCCCGAGATTAGGTAAATGCTTTTTCATATCGTTGCTCCGAAGGATGTGTAAATCATTCCATCTAAACTATCTCTCATAGGAGGAATTGGTGGCACAACTTATCGGGAGGAGGCATTTGCAAACTTTGAAGGTGTCGATGTGAATAGTAACTTTACTTGCAAGAGGCTGGCATCTGTAACAAAGTTACACAGTCACCTTCAGAATGTAAGATTCTTGCTCGTGCGCTCACCCCCAATGTCTGGAAAGACGTCACTTGCATAACTCTACGAGAACTACTTAATCACTACACATAATGAACTACGTATATTTCGGATGTCGCTCGTATGGTTGAGGAAACTGGGATTTTGCACAGAAATTCGAGGATTATATGGGAGGGTTGTCATGGGATACCTTTGTCTGCGAGTGTGACAAAGTACAAACGATACTGATCATGGATGAAATTCAGGTGTTATACAATCCGGAAGGTGCATCAACCTGTCTATTTGGTGGTGACAGGTTTTGGGACACAGTCAAGAGAGTTCCACAGGGCGGTGGTCTCCATCCACATCGTTGCTTTTGCATCCTACGGATATCGTGGAGCATATAGTGGACCAGGCTATCTTAAAACTATATCTCCTTTTGACTTAGACGAAATTAATACTTGGAATTTCAAAGATGTTCGGTACGCTGAACAAGAGTATGCAGATTTCTTTGATGTTTTTTGTCGCTCCAATCTGAAACTGCTTCCTGAAGGGGATGTTCCTCGACTTGCCGACTATGTGAAACAAGCGACCAAGTGCCATCCTGGGCTCGTCTCTTTTGCTTTGAATGATATTGTTTTACGATTTCGACAGCAGCTAAACCAGGGTGCGGTGCCATTGACATTTGAGAAAATATTCAAATTTTTTCAAACAGATGATTTCTATCAAGGCGTTAAGGTAAGTGATGATTGAAAATTAATAGTTTACGATTTTAGAGATATTAGCTCCATTTATTATAACGGACACGCGCATGTCAAGAAGTCATAGTGACATCTGAAGGAGAACGACAACTTATCGACAAAGTCTTGTTCCAACCTGACGGTATTGACACTCGCAGTGCAGTTGCAGACCGTCTGACTTCCGTCAAGAGTATCAATTGAGAAACAGGAAACTTGACTTCACATCACCATTAGTCCGTGCAGCTTATCTTTAGGAACGTCTTGGGTTTAGAACCCGTGTACACACGTTAACAAACTCTCTCGAAGATTTTATCAAGAAGGTGTTCGAATTAATGAGCCCGGAGACTCTCAAGAAAACCCTTTTGTGGTGCTGTTTTTGCTTCGGAGGGCTGGGTGGACTTCTACGTTGATAACGAACATGATTGGATGATAGAGCTAGTTCGAGATGGTGAAGATCTGGAAAAGCATCGAGAGAAGATGAAGGACGTGCTATATGGTTCAATTCTGAAATGTGCTAAGCATCATGCAATTGTGGATATTAGGAGTGGTGTGGGTAGACCCCACAACCTGAGATCAGGTGTCATTTACGTTGTATGTTAACAGAACTTTTCCGGTGTGGAAATATGTATTAATGATATTTGGGACAAGGTTCAGCTGTGTAAAAGTAGAGATTTGTACACTGAGTTGGATATCTTGGTGACACCTTGACTGACAAATGATTAAACCCTATCTGAGACTGTACGAGAACAAGCTAACGTGGCACTTAATGCAATACAAATTAAGTAGTTTTTCTCTCTTTTTGCCAATAATGAATGGATATAGTATAGTCGAAAATAATGGTAATGGACAGGTCTAAAGAATAATAAGGTTTTTGGATATGATCACGTTCTGCGTTATCTTCATTTTCAATGATGACTAAGAGATTGCGAATGTATCATTTGTATTACCACATTTATTAGTTATAAATCATCACACATTTGTTAGTATAATAAGAAACTTAACAATGACCAGTCACAATCAAGAATGAAGTTTCTTAGTTTCTAGTTCAAAGCACAATATCTTTACTAAGACATCAAATTTGTACACTCACTGCTTAATGATATAAAATGAAAATATTATTCAATTACTAGTGAAATTATGTAAATGACTAATTTTTTTAATAAAGCTAGCTTAACATTGCATGCTAAGTAAAATATAATAATAGAGTTATATATTCATATCTTTGCATCTATTTATATTATTATAATATAGACTTTTCATATATATTTTATTAATATTAATTATTTTATACTTGCATTTTTATTGGATAATTAATTATATTTATTGGATAATAATTAAGATAATATTATTGATAAATATTTTTAGATAGTTTTATAAGCATAATAAAATTATTATAGTAAAGTTAACAAAACTATCATAGCAAAACTAGTAATGCTATCATAACAAAATCAACATTAT